CAGAAGGGGGCGCTACTGCGCCCAAAGCCAACCTCCAGTAGGAAACAAGAAGAAGAAGAAGCAGCGTAGCCGATAAAAATCAGACCACTACAGCAGTTTCTAGGTCTGCTGTATGGACCACTTTGCATTTAGAGGGAAGCACATGTTGGAATTAGCACTGTTTCCTCTCTAATGCCAGAATCTCACCTACTTTTAACCTAAGACTGTCACAATAATGTATCAAATGTCAGACTGTTTTTTTTCTTTAAGTTTTAACCTGTTTTAACAAGACATAATAGATTTTCCTAACAATCAACATATACCGAACCGAACCGAAAACCGTGAACCGAACCGAACCGTGGATTTTGTGAACCGTCCCACCCCTAGTTAGGAGTCTGAGGTAAGGAATGTGGTTTGGGCCTCACCCAGTGCAGCGGCCCGATGCAGAGCTTGACGGCCAGCAGGGGGATGGTGGGGTCGTCGGGCTTCAGCCGGATGCACTCCTTTAAGACCTTCACGGCACGAGCCGATTTCCCCGCCGCCATCAGGGACAAGGCCAGCTGGTACCACAGGTGGAACTCCTCAAAGGCAAACTTCATGGCTCTTTCCAAACACTGCGGACAACAGGGAGATGGCACATTTACCAAAACTACTCCCAGAACAAACCGATTTCGGGGGGAAACTCCTAGACCCGGAGTGCTCAATACGTCGATCGCGATCTACCAGTTGATCTCCAAGGTGCTATCGGTAGATCTCATGACAAGGTGAGGAGACATTATCATGAACTGACGCTATACAAATAAAGTTGAGTTGTTTTGAATAAAAACTAGACGTCAGCCTATTGATACACAGGACAACCAGTCAGATGACATCTGATTTTTTTCCCTACAGTTGGGTCACTGTGCGCAGCTAAGCTAACAAGCTAGTCATTAGTTACATCCTAACTTTTCGCTCGTTTTTTTCCTCTTAAACGTAAGATATAGGTTATGAAAATGAGTGGGTGATGGCAAAAAATGTACATAATTATGTTGTGTTGTGCAACATATGTGGTTATACATCAACATAAGTTGTAAGAATCCTAAATATATTTCTCAATAAATATAATGGGTAGATCATTTTGACTTGGTCATTTCAAAAGTAACTCCCATTATGAAAAGTGTGAGCACCCCTGTCCTAGACACAGCTCAAGTCAAGTCAAGTCAAGTAGGCTTTATTGTCAATTTCTTTACATGCGCTGGTCATACAAAGAATTTAAATTGCGTATCTTACTTTGCAGACATAGACATAGACTTTAGGTGTGGACATAGACAGTTAGACAAAGACATTACACATACATTACACCTGGAATATCTATACAATACCATACAGACATATAAAGAGCAAGACTGGGCAAAAGTCTGGATTGTGGTCTAGCAGAGCCTTCACCAGCTTAAGACAATCCAGACTGTTTGCGTGTGTCGTTCCAAAATGGAGGAACCACCTACCAAGCGCTACAAGAACAAGGGGGGTCTTCAAGAAACTCTTGAAGACCCCCCTCTTCAAAGAGCATCTCCTATCCTAACCCTAACCCGTACCTCTACCCCCCACAG